GGTCATAACGCAATGGGACAAACATTATAACAAGGATATGAACTAAATGGTATAAGCCATGTTGCTTGTTTACACTTTTCTTGGCACAACATTGTAAGCCTGCACCTGGAAAAAATGTGAGGGTCTCATATGGAATACAGATACTATAAAATCACTGTTGAAAGGTGTTTACTAAGGAACCATCTGTACACACCTGACCAAGAAGAAGTAATCCAATGGAAATAAATGCTCTCACAGAGAACAAAAGCTTCAAAGAAATGGCTTCACATAATTGTGATCATGTCTCCTTTGTCCTTCTACAGAACTGTTGAAAATCAACACTGATTATCTCCCTCTTACAAGTTCTTTCTCTTTATAGGATAATGTTTTTGAGATATAGTGCTTCAGAGTAATAAAGCTAAGATATTACTTTTACTGCATTGCCATTTAGGCATATTTGTGGGTATATCATAGAAGTTTGGACAGTACAACAAAAATACCTGTCTTTTTGACGTCCAAAGTAAAGGCCAGAATTTGCCAATTTTTGCATGCAAACCATGAATCCCAATCATTATTGCTGTATCTAGAACAATTTGCTCTTTCTTCAGACTGCAGATGTACTTTTCTGATAAAGACTTTTCTGACTGAGACTCCAAGATATAAAATAATATAAAACAATACATACTTTTTAATTGAATGGTTACCAGATGCTTAAATACCTTATTTAATAGTGGATTATCTCAATTAATGTTCACACCAACCTGATGAAGTAAAGGTTATTATTATCCCCATCCATCTCACAGATGAAATTGAAGCCACAGAGTTTAGATAACTTGCTTGAGATTATACCTTTAATTAGTAATAGGACTTGGGATTTGAAGTTTTTCTAGTCCTGGTTCTATGCACTTAACCTCTATCCTGTTTTCTAATGTCCCTGACAGTTCCAAGATCTTTACAGGTAACTTTGAGCATGATGTGCTGGTGATACAAAATAGCGTAATGCAAATATGGGCCTTGCAGTGTCAAAGCATTTGATATTCTTCATATATCCATAAATATTGACATTGAGTTTTCTAAGAGTAAGTGAATTTATCTGTTTTAAAAAATTGATCTAGACTTTCTTCGGTGAGATTCTTCACATATCAACTTAGAATATAATACCTTATACATTATATCAGGAGGGTAAAGGGTATGTGGCTCAAAAAAGAGATAAGAAACCTCAGTGGTTTAAATAAAGTAGAAATTTATTTCTCTATACTTTAAAGGTGTAGTGGGGCAGTTCAGTTTTGGGAGACAGCTTTCCATGAAGCAATTCAGGGGCCTGGTTTCCTTCCATCTTGTTGCTCTGCCAGCTACTATGCTCTGCCATGTCTGTGTTCCAGGTGGCAGGAATAAAAAAGAGGCAGTAAAGAGCAAGCAATTTCCTTTTAAGCAAGTAATGTGGAAAAGGTACACATTGCAACTTCTTACACTTCATAGATGAAAACAAAGTCACATGGCCATACCCAGTCACAGGCAGAATGGGAAATGTAGTCTCCAGACAGAGGGCTCTGTGCCCAGTTAAAAGTCAATTCCAACGAGAAAAAAAAAAAAAAAAAAAAGAGAGAGAGAGAGAGAGAGAAATAAATTTGGAGGGGAAAAGGAGCCAGCTGTCTATTACACACAGGTAGGCAGATACTACATATAAATCAATTACTGGTTTTAGCATTTTTTTTTTTTTTTTGAGGGGAGTAGGTTGTCTGTAGAATAATGTCATTTTTGTTTTTTCATGACTGGGATGAGAGTTAAAATGACTTTAAAGCCTAATATCACTAATCAGCTGGTTGAGCACTTACTGATACCTACTCTTTAATTACATGGTTAGTAAATGGATAATTATTCTATATTAGGTAAGAGCATTTTGAAATTATGTAACTAACAGAAGGAATGTAGTGAACATGTGTTGTTTTGTCTGCTAAAATTTGTCCCCATCTGAAAAATAGCCATGAACTTTCTTTAGAAAATTATCCCCCTCCTTGTGGTTGTCAGCTGGGGAGGAGTGAACCTTATAAATGCTTTCTGAGCAAAACTACCTTAAGTAGTTTTACTCTGCATTCAACTGCTCAGCCTCTTTTTTTTAAAAAATGATTTTATTTATTTATTTGAGATAGAGCGATATAGAGGGAGCATGAGCAGAGGGAAAGGTAGGAGGAGAAGTATGGGAGGGGGAAAGGGGAGTGAGGGGGAGAAACAGACTTCCCGCTGAGCAGGGAGCCCAACCTGGGGCTCTACCCTAGGACCCCGGAATCAGGACCTGAGGAGTCGAAGGCAGATGTTTAACCATCTGAGCCATCCAGTCACCCCGACGACTACTCAGACTCTTTATTACCACAGTGTAGATTAGGTCCCATGACCCTAGCCCTGGGGTCCCGGTAACATGATCTCTTTCTGTGTCTCTTCAGCTGGGGATAATATAGTTCCCTTCAGCTGTTGCTAATCTCAGGGCAACCTCCCCATTTCTTGTTTGGTCCTCACCTGCATAACTCATTCCCTGTATTAGATTCCCTCTGTTACAAATAAGTAAAATGGTTTCTAGGCTCCTGGTCAGACATTGACTGATGAAATGGCCTACTTCATGGGGCTGTTCCAGTTCTAGCCACACTCCTCTAGCCATGTTGCTTTAACCTCAATTCTCAATTCTCCCAGAAAGAAGAAACCTTTGTTTCAGGTTCTTGATTAAGGATGGAGTTGGGGAAAGGGGGTGGTGATTGAACCTTGTGGGAGATATTATTATGCACTAGAACAAACAGTTCCCAAACTGTCTGTTACAGAAACACAGGATGGGGAGGGGAGGGGCCAAATGGCCCTTGTTATCTCATAAAACTTTTAGTAACTTTTATTATTAGCCTCACAATCTTTATTATAATCTTAATTATCTTTACAATCAAAATAACTCAAAGTATCTTATTTTCTTAGGAGTGAAAGGCTTTATCTTATTGTTATCCCCAGCTGAGGTTAGCTGCACTTAATGCATGGCTCTAGGAGACAAAAAGTTTTTCAAAACCTCAAACACAAAACAATTAAAGAATTTAGAATTTTTTTTAAGATTTTATTTATTTATTTGACAGAGATCACAAGTAGTCAGAGAGGCAGGCAGAGAGAGAGGAGGAAGCAGGCTCCCCGCTGAGCAGAGAGCCCGATGCAGGGCTCGATCCCAGGACCCTGGGATCATGACCTGAGCCGAAGGCAGAGGCTTTAACCCACTGAGCCACCCAGGCGCCCCAAGAATTTAGATTTTTTGAAATGAATCATAATTGTACCCTGTAGCTCTACTCTGAGGATGGGCCAGAGGAAGTCCCAGAATGGGAGTAGGTTTCAATTTTTGTCCTCACAGATGCAGACACCATGATGGGATTGGATGCACATAAGTGTTACCGAGAAAGTATTAGTGAAGGATAAGGGGAAGGAAGTGGAAGCTGGACTAGGGAGAGACCAGACAACAATGCAGTTCTGATAACTTTAAAAGCTAAGGGGAAAGGAAGTAAGATTGACCAAGAAGATCTTAAGACTTCGAGGAGTTATAAGAAAGTGTTGACCAGGCCAGTGGGGAATCTTTAAGCCAAAGCAGCCCATTAGAGGAATCCTGCATCCCTCAACAATGGGCCTGCACTAATACCCCTGCTGTGCTCATTCACTGACTAGGAAGAGCCCAGGGGAAATATGATCTCAGCATAAACACACTTGTGGGTCTGGCAAGACAACAGCTGAGGCTAAAAGTCAGCTGTCCTCCTTAGAGCAGGAAATCTGAGCAGATATTTCTTGGATGCTCTATCGGGTACTCACTAAGGGAGGAGATGATTCCAAATGCCAGCTCCACACACAGCCCATGTTTACCATACCTTCTCACCACCACATTGCAGAATGTACATCTTGTTATTATGTTATTCTAGGTCCCTACGGCAATTTCATCTGAATGTGGCCTATTTACCTAGATGTGTTGAGTGGAGTTGAGGGAAAGGGGTATGTGGATGTTGCCCTGGCCGAAAGGGTCCAGGCTGAGTGTCCCCAGAGGCAGAGGGCTAGGAGAGGGCTTCTACCTTTCCTAGAGAACATCTGCATTTGTCTGTGTGTGTGTGCACTTCACACTCTGTCATGCCGAGACAGAGAATGCACATAGATGCCAAGGAAGAGAACCAAGTTGTAGCAAAATTAAGTGTCTTAATTGCCATTTTTCTAAGAATGCTGATGTTAATTCAAATTTATTGTTTGTACCTTAAAATATGAATTGTATTACAAGTAGCATAACTCAGAATGAATTTTCATATAATGTTTATGTTTTATGGAGTTATTAATCATCAGCTTTATTATTTTAGTTTCTTTTTCCAAGATTAGATTATAGGCCAGTCTCAGCCCTGTCAGGGTACTCTATAGCATTTAGGGACTAACAGACCCCTCAGGTTTTCTTTTGTAGATTAAGGATGTGAGAAGTTAGAGAGAAGCTGAATCCCTAGAGCTACCGTTGTGGCCTAAAGGATGGGGCTATTCTGTGGTTCTCCAAAAGGCCAGCTGGGCCTCCTAGCCTGAAACCACCCAAAATAGGTGATGGAAGATGACTGGGCTGGTTTTCCACATCTCTTCAGTCCCTGCCCCACAATAAACCTCTAAGATAATCTGGGTACATGTATGACACTTCCTTGCAACATGGAAAAACCTGACTAATTCTCAGTACTCAGTAATTCAGGAGAGTGATGAAGAGGATCTGAGGTGAGATGTGCATGGAGCTGGAGAAAAAAGCCCATTACTTCGTGAATGAATGTGGTAGGATAAAGAGGAGTCAGGGGAAGCTCCCAGGTTGTCTGTTTGGAGTCTCAGGGGGATGAGTGTACTACCAGCAAAAGATAGAGGCAGGTTTGGAGGAGATTTGCAAAACTCGGTTTGAGCAGGTTGGGTTTGAGTTGCCTGTGAGGATACTTGGAACACATCTCTAGCAGACAGGTGGATACTCTGGTTACTTATTGCTAACTATCTACCTACCATGAAACTGAGGGGTTTAACATGACACTTTTATTTATTTGTCCATAATTCTACAATTTGGGCATGGTGGAGAATAGCTCATCTCTGTTCCATGTGGCATCAGCTGGGGCAACTTGATGGGGCTGGAGAATCCACTTCTAAGATGGCTCACTCACTCACATGCGTGGTAGGTTGTGTTGTGTCCAATGGGAGCACAGCTGGGGCGATTAGCCCAGGTCCTCAAGTTTTCCTCTATTTGGCCTCTTGAAATGGCTAGGTGAGACTTCTGACAGCATGGCAGTCTTGGAGTAGTTAGATTTCTTTCATGGTTCTTCTTCGAAAGGGCAAAACAGAAGCTGTTGTCAAAAACAAAACTGAACGAACAAGGAAATAGATTTTATGCAGACTATTGCAATAGAGAGAGTACCTAGATTTGAAGATCAGAGTGTCTCAGCAGGGCTTTGCCTTGTACTTTTATAGGGAGCAGTAGACAGGTTATCAGTGGGATGACTTACAGTTGTGAGATAGGGAAACTGAAGGAACCCCATGAAGGATGGCTTTATTGCTGCCTCTTTTCTTACTAGGACCTACATCCCCACCCTACACATGCCTTATAGTACAGATAATGTATACATCTTCCTTGCAAAGGTCAAGGAGTTAATGATTTTTTTGGAGACTTCCAGCATAATAGGTAACATCTAAGGAGTGACCAGGTGGGGTCTTCATGAACATTTTCCCCAAATCCCTGGCTCCAGGGTGTAAATGACTTATGGAAAACATTTAAACACTCATCTTTGTTCCTGGATGTCTGAGAAGACATGTGCACAAGACCACAGTCCTCAATAAAAACAACAGACCCCAAGTAAAGCATCTCCCAGATGCTCTGTCTGCACTCTATGTCTTCAATAAACTCTCCTCTTGGCTTGCATTTGATTTCTATCCTGTGCAAAGACAAAGACCTTCTTGGCTAGTCTTGAGGGAACCCCTCTGGGTCCTTGGACTCCTCAGCCTGCATCAGCTGGAATTGTTTTGTAATCAGGAGATGTCTTAGTCAGCCAGGGCATGTTTGTCTGTGTCTAGATAATTTCAAGGCAACAAACAGTTCTAATCTCAGCTAATCATCCATGAGACAAAGGATGTTGAAGGGTTTGTGCCTGACCTTGTTAACAGGTTCAAGCAAAAAGGGAAAGATCTGTTTTTGGTCTTGTCACAGGTAAACAAGGAGTCATCTGCCAGTCTTTTGAGAAAGAGTGGACAGAGTCCCATCTAAGTCATACCAAGAAGGGCGGTTCTTTGTGGTAAGCTGTTTCCCAGAAAACAAACAGGTGGGGGGGCTTCTTAATCATTTCTGTTTTCCCTGAGTACAGGTTCCAGCAAATTTCAGTGTTGTCACTGCAAAGACTTCTTATGGCTTCAGCCTGGAACTGGCAGTCGTTTTGCCACATTCTATTGTTTAAAGCAGTAACAGGTCCAGCCTAGATTCAAGGGGAGAGTATTACACAAGCACATGGATATTGGGGTTTATCATAGGCCACGAAAATACAGTTTCTCATAGAGTCTGAACCTTGGACTGGATGTATTTCGAATGGGGTGCTACTAGCATATCCTGGGTGGTAGCTGCAACTATCAGGTGGGGTCACTGTGTGTGTGTCTATATTGGTAAATGTAGAAAAAAGTCCATCAACATCATTTCAGACCTATCAGATTGGAGGCTTGAGGGCTGTGATTTTCCTAGTTTCTCAGAAGCCCTTGTTAATACTGTTCCTTGCTTAGCATTTATCCCAACATTTTCTGGAATTTTGTTGCTAGTTATAGTTCCTGAACAGCATCTAGGTATTCACCTCATTTAACGATGAGAGGTAATGATGACAGGACTTAGCCAGAAATGATATTTAATAAGTTTTTACATTTTAATTATTTGCCCTGATTAGACTTGGCAAGAGGCATTAAGTTGACCTGTCCAGCTCCTGCAACAAAGAGGGCCAACAGAAATCGAGGGAATCCCTGTGCAAAGGGGAGGGTTTTGAACAAAGGTCTCCCACATGGGGACCCTTCATGGAGGCTAGCTAACCTTTGAAAATTTGACCTTTTTCTTTCTTGGTTCCCTTCTTCTGGACTCAACACTATCAATTTCTTTTGGAGCTCTTTGTGAAGATAGGCCAATAAAAGACCATAAATCTTTTTTACTAGGTGAAGCATTTACCACTCTAATTAGCATTCCCATTTAAAGGCTTTCATATTCGAGAAACAAACACCAGCATTCCATGTGCTAAGGTTAAAGGAAATCTTAAATCATGAGTAAGTAGAGGTGGAGGACAAAGACCTAGAGTTTAGGCATTGCCTGTGTTCTGACAGTCATCAGAATTTTACTGAGATACCACAATGCTGAAGACACATACTGTCCTAGGTTTTTAGAGTAGAGATAAAATCTGAGCCTAGTTGCGGATTTGTAGAACAAAACAAAACAAAATTTATGTGGGTTATAACAAAGTAGATCTGCATAAAATGTTAATGACTTCCCCAAAGGAGAGTAGAGTATGTTTCGGAGTAAGTTACAGGCTGGGTCCTGAAGCATGAACAGGAGTCTACTCAGCTGTAAAAAAACGTCCAGCAGGCCATTTACACGCAACTAGGAAATGTAAATTCTGAGGCAGGAGGGCCAGCCTATTAGGAGTTTCTCAGGGGCTGACATCTCTCTTACTCTCAGTCCCACCCTGGGGAGGTGGTGGTGGGTGTGAGTGGTGAAGTCTCGGTACCAGGTTCCTAAGGCTACAACTGGACGCAGGTTGGGGCGCAAGAGAGAGGACAAGGAGAAAGTTTGCTGGGGGGGGGGGGGGGTCGAACGAGCCCTCCCGCGCATGCGTACTGGCAGCCGGCCGGCTCCGCAGACGGTTTGGCCTGCGGCTCACTCCCCACGTCGTGCCTCGCATGGTCCCATAGACTGGGCCCCGGGAGCGAGCGCGTTGCGCGCCCGCGCAGCCTCCAGGGCGGGCGGGCGCCTGCGCACCAGCGTCCTGGGCGCTCGAGCCGCGGGGTTATTAGAGGTGGAGCGCGGGGAGGGCGCGCGGCAGGAGGCGGCCGCCGTTACGGCGCGAGCGTGGTCACGTGGTCGCTGGTCACCGCCGCCGCGGCCCCCTCCCGCCCTGTTCTCTTTCTGGTCGGGCCGGGCCCAGCTGGTTCCGCAAGCGCCCGGCAGAGACTGAGGGAGAGAGAGAGAAAGAGGAGGGGAGGAGGAGGAGGAGGAGGAGGAGGATTCAGGGAGTAGGAGCTGGGGAGCCTTTCTGCGCCACAGGTAAAACGAGATGATGATGATAATCGTAAAAAAAGCCGAGCCCCCTGAGCGCCTCCGCCTCCCTCCAGTGCAGCCCCACATGCAGTCGCTCCCGCCCCGGCCTCCCCCTCTGCCTCTCAGGACCATTCCCGCCTTTCCCAGCGCCGCTGCTGCAGCTGCCGCCGTCTCACGGGAGGGCCTGAGGGTGCTGCTGCTGCTGTCGCCGCGAACGGGTAGTCGCACCGCCCGTTTGTGCGCTTCCCGGGTCGGCGTGGGGGTTGGGTGGCGGGAGGGCGGCTCCTCTGGCTCCAGGGCGGGTTGGGCGAGGGGGCTGCTTCCACCAGTCCGCCTGCCTTCCCTGCCTCGGGAGGTTGGGGTCTAGGCTGCAAAGCCAACTGCTGCGAGTGATCAGAGCCTGGTGGTTGGATTGTGGCTCAACTTCCTACTTGGTAAATTTCCCGTTCCTATCAGCCGTGTGCGGCACGCTTCCTTCCTAGGCCGGAAGCGAAACGGGCCCGGAATCCCCAAACCTTTTAAAAATGCAGCTTTTGGACTAGAGAAGCCTTTCGTCTTTGAGGAGAGCAACGTTACCCTGTGTTAGTACGACTTAAGTTTATTCACCTGTAAGAACATGCAAGTTGAGGCCTTTAAGGATATAAGAAAAACTTTGTGAAAGTTGATCCCTCCTTCCCCTCCTTTTCCTGGAAAAACGAACACAGACCTAAACAATTTTTGGTTCTATAAATGACCTAGAGTTCGTTCAATACCTGTTAACTAGTTTTAGTTTCAGGGATATGATTTAAAGTTCACATCCTTCAGATTTTTTTTTCTGAATGATTTTCGGGAATGACTTCTATTTGTCAACTCCGAATTGGACTAAATCCCGAAATTGTAGCGTACAGGTTGCACGGCTTTGGGCCCGATTGCGCAGAGATTTCTAGAACCAGTCATTATTTGTACTTTGTACAAAAGAATATAGTACAAAGAAACTATATTATTAGTGCGCTGTTGCACAAAATACTGACTTAAAGCAGGTAGTAGTAAATGTAGGCATTGTTGAAAACAAACCTTTGATCACTTACATTCATTTGTATGTTAGTCATTTCTCTAAATGAGCTTTTCTGATTCCACGTCTTGGAATTTTCATACTATATCTCTAAATTCAGATGTAAACTTGAGCATTTTAAATTTTTACAACTATCTGCAGTAGAATCAAACAAGTGCTTCTCCGTCTTTAATATGCGTAGGAATCCCTTGGGGCTCTCCTTTAAAACGCAAATTCTGATTTAGTAGGTCTGTGATGTATCTTGATATTCTGCATTTCTTATAAGCTCCTGGGTGGTGCTGGACAAGGAACAGTTCTTGAGTAGTAAACGTCAATGATTAAGTGCTTTAATTCATCCTGAGTGTAGAGGTGGTTTGAGAGAAAGCAAAAGGTAGGATGACCTGACAAAGTTCCTCTTAGGGCGCTCCTTTATGAAAGGTGAGCAGGCTGTGTTGGGATTCCAGGGGAGGGAATAGTAGTTGGAGTGAGTTGCCCAACCTGGAGAAGTGAGGATGCCTCTTGTGCATGCTGTGGTGCGTATATCACCTGGCCTGTGAATTTTCTGTGGAAGCCTGGTGTACTTCTAGCTGAAGGACTCAGCTCTGGGTAGTTGGGTTTTATCAACTTATGGACTATGAGTCCTGTGTCTCTGAATCCGTTGCTGGGATAAAATTTTCTTTTATTAATGAAAGTATTGAGTGTTTGCTTTTTCTCTCAGATGCAGCCTCAGTTGAGCAATGCATTCCTGAGCCTTGGAAACAAACTTGTAAAGAATTTAGGGTCTCCACCTGTTGAGATTATCCTAAATGGATTCAGATTTTTTCCCTAATCTCATCAAGAAAATGTAAATTGAAAAGTTGAAAAGTGTCATACTTAACCTCATACCTTATGTCTGTAAAAATGGTTGTACCTAACTTTTAAAAAACTTTATTGAAATGTAACATTAATTGCTTTTAGCACCGTAATTTTTATACTTTTCATTCTAGTCCTTACTTTGCCATCGCTTCATGTTCTTAAATAATATTTATGACCATGCTTTTGAAGCACGAAGTGCTAGACACTGTTCTAAGCAATTTATGTATTTTAACTCCTATGATGCTCACAACAATCTTTAAGGAAACTGAAGCAGAGAGAGGATAAAAATCCTATGCTAACACAGAGCTGTGGCTCTGGCTGACTCTACAGTCCATACTTTAATATTAAATCTTCTGAATGTAGCTTTTATGGAAGAAAATAAATTAATGATACCTTTCAAAATTCCCTTTTCCTAGTATTGTTGAAAATTATGAGATTCTCTTTCATTTTAAAATCCAAACTTCTCATCTTTTGAAAAATTTCCCCCATCGTATAATGAAAACTTGCCTCAATGCTTGTAATCTTTCCTGAAAAAGATACTGAAATTTGCAAAGCTTTATTTGTTTGCACCTGTCTACCAGGCCGATCTCTTTCAAGTCTCTAAGTCACTAGTAAATGTGAAAGTAGTGTCTGCTTCCTTTTGACTCTGCAAGTTTTTGTTCTTCATTTTTGCCTATGCTTCTCTTCCACCTTCCACCCCTTTTCCCCCTCTATGCATACATAGTAGACCTATCTTGTATTTGTTATCCTAATATTTAGGATTTTTTGTGGGGGGGGCATTGATGGGTCACTGATTTTTTTTATTTGACCAGTAAGGACGATAACAATCTAAGCATGAGTCACTGTTATCATATTTTAACAATGGGAAAGTCATAAGGACAACTTCAGTGTCCTTTTGTCTCTGACCGATGAAAGCTTTGTCCTGTATCAGCACCAGCCTGAGGAGTGGTGCTGGTACGCTTGGTCTAAGACATTTCTCTTAATGTGGACAGATGATTAGAATGGCAGTAGTGTTACAGTGTGTGTGTACTGGAACTAGAGAAGTGAGATTTTGTGGCTGTGGGCAGTTGTGGGAGGAGGAAGTGAGAGGAGAAGGCCCTATGGGCTGATTCTAGTAGCATTGATTCTTCATTAATTGGGATAATAATTTGGGAAGCAAGTCAGTATAACAACAAATCCCTGTTGTAAAGGTTTTCTCGAAGTTCATACTGTGTTGTGATGTCTGTCTGTTGTAATGTTATGCTGGTCAGTTACTTAGCCTCATAGTGCCTTAGTTTTCTCAACTTTAAAGTGAGGATGATAATAATAAGTACCCCAGAAAATTGATTTGAGGATTAAATGAGTATATTTGTGTGTGTGTGTATGTGTGTATATATATATGTATAGTATATATACATATATAATGCTTGGTGTCTGACACATAGGTAATGCTATCATGGAAGTGTTAGATACTCTGTTTTACTATGGATAATCTACAGTGTGGTTGATCATATCCACATAACCAAGACTGACTGTATTTGAATGAACTTCATGGGAATTGTTTGGTATTTGGAATTTATTTGGTATGAAGCTGTATGGGCCAGCAAAACAGAAAGTTTGTATTTTTTGGATTAAATACAGAGTTGGTATAATAATGCTCTTATCCCTTTGGGGGATTAAATATAAATAAATATGGTTTTGCTGCTCAGATCTTTCAAAATAAGGAAGTAAAGCTATAGAAATAGAAGATGTTTTCAGTGGTGGTGTGAAAGGATTGGTTTAAAATTTTCTAGTGTAGTGTTGTGAAGCCTAGAACAAGGTCATCTTATTTATGAAGGCTCTGCTGAGTATAACTTTTACCTCCCTCAGCAGACTCCTTTGCTCCTTGAAATAATCCATCTGTCTGTGCATACTCCAGACTTGATCTACAGCCCCTTATCTAAAACCCAGGGTGACATATGTGTCTCAGAAGTAAAATTTTTGAAATTTAGAGAATTAATATAGGGCATATGCTTTATGTCCTGAAACCTCCTGTGGATAGGAACAATCACCCCATAGTTGTACACATTAATTTTCCCAGCAAATTTATACATGTTCACACTAAGTAGAATAAAAAAGATCATAAAAAGCCTCCTGTTAGTTAGGCTGTGTTTTGTTGACAGCTTAGAAAACAGTTTTAGTTTTCAGAGTTTTTTGGATTTTTGGAATTGGAGATAAGGGGTTGGGATCTCTGTCTCTCTGTATTTTATCATAGTACCTGTCTCTTTGATTAGAAAAAGAACTGGATTATGGGATTTGTGTGTTAGCATTTTCTATTTTTAGCACCTGTCATGGGACCTGGCATGCAAAAGATGCTCATTAAGTGTCCCCTAGTTTGGACGAAAAACCTCTGAAGATCGTATCATTCAGTTATTGTGCTACATGTGGTGTCTCTGACTCCATGAAGATATTTAGTAATTGTGGATTTATAATTTTTCTTGACTCCGTTGCCTAGGGAAGGTGATTATTGGGTTACTTTTTTGAGACAAAATAGACTGAGGAGATTTGAAAGAGGCATTATAGATGATTGCAAGTTTTTATAGATTTGTGTTGACAGGAATACTTATATTTACCATTTTATGGGTCATGAAGTCTACATTGAGAATGGTTTGCTTTTTATATTTATTTATTTATTTATTTATTTATTTATTTATTAAAGATTTTATTTAATTGTCAGAGAGATAGAGAAAGTATAGGCAGGCAGAGTGGCAGGCAGAGGCAGAGGGAGAAGCAGACTCCCTGAGGAGCAAGGAGCCCGATGTGGCACTCGATCCCAGGACCCTGGGATCATGACCTAGCTGAAGGCAGCTGCTTAACTGACTGAGCCACCCAGACATCCCCGAGAATGGTTTGCTTTTTAAAAATGATTATATTTAGTTTTGTATGATAATTTATGACAGACTAGTTGTGGTATATCTAAAGAAAATGTTGTGCATGAATATCTTGGGTTGAATAATTACAGTATAATAGCTTAGCCTGACATTAGAACTTTTTTTTTCTATTACAAAAGGTAATGCCTATTGTAAAAATGTTATAAAAACAAATTATCAAAGGTCAAATGGTCTGCACTATTGGGAATTTCTTCAGTTCTCTTGGGGGTTATGTTGTCTTGAGAGAGGCTGAAAAAAAAAAAAAGTCAAATTTGTACTGCAAGTATTAGTTTAGAAAACCGAGTTGCAAATGTTGGTTAGCAACCAAGTTTTCTTACTGTTATTAAACATCTAAGTAAGATAAAAAGGTTGAACTAAAAGCAGTTTGGGTCTCTACTTATAAATACTGATCTTCAAAATAATTAGTTCAGGGAGAGGTAAACCCCCCACTTCTATGTAACCACCTTGGGGGCGGTGAGATGGAACTGCCTTCTGGTGGAGTTGGGTGGTATAGCACTGCAAGAAGACTGAGCCTAAGTTACAGGTTCTGGCTCTAGATGGGTGCATTCTGTTTGCTGGTAATTAGTGGGGATCAGAATGGACCCCTTCAGGTTTCCCAGAATAGGTACCTTTGGAGGTATTCCAGTAGCTAACTTCTAGGAATCCAAGAGGAATTACT